TCACTGTTATCAAGCCTACTGAGTATCAATGGAAATTTGAATCTTTAGGGAAAAAACCGCGTTTTTCAAGTTTTATTCAAATTTTTTCAGTATTTTGAAGATCTACTATCCTATTCGTAGCGGAGACAAATCCAACAAATTAAAAACCATGAAAATTGTTCCAGCATATCTCGAGCTATAAGTGTAGGAACACTTTTCACAACGCTCTTTTATATATATAGATATTTATGAAATCTTCAGTTCTCACGCTTAAAAATGTTTAAATTTATCAATATACAGAAATATATTTAAAAATTTAAAATTTGATCTGACTTGATTTAAAGAAACAATAAAATAAAATTTAAAATTATATTTTGAAGAAGTTTTCCGCTGATGAGTAAACTGAATATAACATTTAATTATAGAATATGTCAAAATGGAGACAAATCAATATTATTGTCGAAGCGGACCACAGCAGAATCTAACTTCCTCAACAGTTTCTCAGCAGCCCGTGAATAAAATGTGCTATGAGGGTAATGTCGGTCAGGAGTATATACCATGTAGCTCGACTCATGCAGAATCGACGGGATTCACCGGGAGGGAAATGCCTTCAAAAAATGCAAACAGTAAATCCCAAGTAGCAACTAGAAGTTTGGGTAGTCCATATACGTTTTCTAACTGTCATAGCAGTAGTCAATGTAATAATTTGAATAATGCGGGAAACTATATAAATGTAATGACTGTGCCAATGGCCACATTACAGTACAATCGAAAGAAGATAACGTCCCAGGATTATCAGTAAGTCAATGCATTCGATTCGTCATAAAGCAAATATTTTATCAGTTCGCCTGTTTTTTGACAGTTCTCGCCTCTATTACAACACCACGGATGTTAAGTGTCGTGAAGACTACTATCTGGGAAATAATGTAAAATGTAGTAACGAAACTCCGTCTCAGCAGTCAATGTCACAGTTAACGCCAAATCATCAACACGCTCAGCATCAATTGCACCTCAATCAAAATACTCACAGCCATCAGCTACTAAGTAATCAGCAAAGCACTGCATGCAGTCCAAGCGCAGGGATTGAAGCCATCGATGACGGCATTGACTGTGCACTGTACTCTAATGCTACTGGAAATGGCCGTATTGTAGCCGCTACTCAAACACAAATGAATAATGCCGATATGGCGTCATGTGAACAAATGAGCTCCCAAACACCAGCGTCTTTGGTTCCCGTCAATGTGCCTGTTCCACCTGTAATGTATACGGTGCATCGTGTGGTGACAACAGCTCAAATTCAGACAGCTGTCGGAAGCACATTTGCTTCCTCTGCGAGCGTTTCTAGCGTTGTCAGTGCGAGTCGAAATGAGAGTGACTGCATGGCATCAGCACAAGTGACTTCTGCGATGTCTATGTCAGCTAACGACACTTGTCACAGTGGTCTGCATATTTCAGACCTCGGTAGCAATGTCGTGACTAATGGTAATTCACTCGGGCCACTGACTGGAGTACGAAACTCATCCGGTATTGTAATTTAATAGAATTAATAAGCCGCTGGACTAATTATTTTTCCTTTTAAGGTATTCTAACAAGTTACTTACCTACTCAGCAGAAATGCAGCATCAACGATGGTGAAAAAAACCCAATGATATCAAAGCGAACTGTTGGCATTAATTCTTCTTCCGCCTACTCAAGCGCTGGGAAATCAAATACGGTGACTACCCGCGCTCTTCAGAATGTGAGTTCTTCAGTCAAACACTAGATATTCTATAGAACAATTTATCAATGTACTAGGTCATTCCGACTTGCGTATACTTGATGTCACGAGTCGCTGTGCACATGGAGATTGAGGGTACGGCCCAGTGTCCTTCTCAAGTAATGCTAGCAGCTGCACTTGGATGCGAAGAGTTGGGAATTTCTAACAAATTGCTTGCTCAAAGTATATTCGGACTATGGATGACAAGTAGTCTATTGGAAATGCAATTGAAGGCGCATCATTGTCCTTATATAGTTCGAGTAGCTTGGTCTAGCTTGCTGGAAAAATATAGCAATGGCAATCCGATCGAACGAAAGTATGATGAGCCTATGATAGTTCTTAAGCGAAATGTATTTTTTTCTAAGCGGGATGAGGAGAAAATCAAGTAAGTCGACACACTTGGGTCAATAGAAAACCAAACTTATGTGCGAAACAATATCAGGGATCATCGGATTTTAGAGTTGCTGTATGAAGAGGCGAAACATTGCGTCTTAAATGGAAGATATATTATGGAGCCGGTGCATTCGTTAATGTTAGGTGGTATACAAGCTAGAATCGAGCTGGGACCGTACAACCCCCACACCCACACTGTGGGTTTCTTTAGGTGAGACTCAAACTGAAATGTTCTTAACAATTTACTAAAGAATTAAATATTTAGAGAAAACCAGTCAAGATTTCTACCAAGACATGTTGCTAAAAGTTCAAACTGGCTGTGGCTGCCAATAAGCCCGAAGAATTCAGCAGAAATGAAACTTTTAGAACAATTCAAGCGAGTGCCACAGACTGCCACAACTCGGAAATTAATGCGAAAATATTTGGAGTTTTGCTGGGCATTGCCATTTTATGGGTGAGTACATTAGCACAAATAAAATTTTATTTGAAATAGATGGAATTGAGCATTCGTTGAAAATTCGTATGAAGATAGCAACCTCGTAATCTATAGGAAATACAGTACAAGTTTATCATTTTCTTTAGCAAATTCATCCCATTTCCATATTATGGATTAAAAACCGATATGTGTGTCTTTATATTTTTGCCCAGCTTCTTCGGCAACTCTGGTTCCAATCATTTACGATGGCACAAATAAAAGCCAATTTATTGATTTAATGCCGAGTCTGTGTTAGCTGTTAAGGCAAAGGTATTTTGACGCGAGTGCGACAAATATGTAGGTGTTGCGCGAATAAAGACAATTTTTATATAGAGTTTAAAAAATAGACGTAAGAAGGTGTATGTAATTAACAGAGCAGCCAAAATTTAAATATGTACATATGTATGTGTTATGCTTTGTTATGTGCATGAGTGCACTAACAAGGAATGAGAATGATAAAAGGCAAAAGATTAACTTAGAGCGACTGATTAACTATTAAGAGCAATCATTAGCTGCTGCGCCAAACAGTTGTTCCTCAATTATTGTTTTTGATTATTATTGTTAAAATATTCGATCGTTTGAAGTAATTGCAATAATAATGCTGATGATGATTCGACCAAGAACGGTGCTTCCTTTTCAAAATATTTCTATGATAATGCCAATATTGTGTTAATGTGCTGTATAGAGTTCAGGAAATTCAAAAGGTATATTTTTAAGTCGAAATAATCGGGAAGTTAGGGTAAGTTCAAAAAACATTGAGTGAGGCAGAACAGGCTATAAAAATAATATTGCCGTATGATTTATGAAGGTCAATTTTTGATTATTCAAATCAGCTAGGCTTTACATTAAAGTTTTAAATAAGGATTAAGCTAATTCTTAAAATGATATTTTTTTTTTCATATTATAATATATATATATATATATTATAATATGAAAAAAAAA